GAATAACACTATAAAAATAAAACTAAAACATTCAATTCAATTCAACTCAACTGTCAATCGCAATTCAACTCAACTGTCTCTCAATGAAACAACCACTTACCTATGTCTACTAGTCAAATTTCCAACATCCGGCTGAATCATACGCAATCTATCGGTCTTATCTCAGCAGCCACAACTAGAGACAATATCACTCACAAAACTAGTTCGAACACTGTTGCTTGAGATCACCGCGCCAGATTATTATTGCTTGTTCAGTCCAGTTCACATAATCACATAAGCCAAATATAAGTTCTGTTCGAAAGCCTCACAATCAGTTCAAGCCACCACGCATCTATCTAATTATCATAACAACTAAATTTTCATAATCCATATCAAACTAAATAAATCAATTTCAAATTAAAACTGCTATTGTTGTTATCGCAAATCCAGTGTGCAAACCATAAAAATTTGCAAAAACTAAACTCAAACGTTTGCAAAAAATAATAATAATAACAATAATAATAATAACAATAATAATAATAAAAACAATAACAATAGCAATAGAAAAATAGCCACATACATAGCAGCTATCATGAATGGCATGCACATTTTTGATGCTTCACTTGATGCATTCAGAATAAGAACGAACGCAAACTTCTTAACATTCAAGACGTTTACTACTTCATCAACTCAACCGCACATACACATTGGTATGCATGTGATTTTGTATCAATTTATTTAAGTCACTTACATCTGCTCAAATGCACTCTTTTTGTAAAGTCCATAGTTGTATTAGACTATTGAAAGCAACTAGTAGACGATAGAATGAAAATTTACACGCAATGAATTCTACTACAAAACGCTCTGCTTATATACAGTTGCTGCTTAGATATCGATCAAACATACGGATCAATCACAACGAATATCACAATTCATGTCATCCATTGATATTTGATCACATTGATCATATCACAACAAATACATTATCACTATCTCGCAAACAACTCTAAAATCCAAAACTCTTACTTCATATTTGGGATTTGCAATAGCTTCTTAGATCTTTATACTTATCACAAAGATATGCTGCTGCTACTGCTACAGCAGCAGTCTAATTTTACTCTAAACGATTCAATGAATAATCTTGTCTAGCGGATACGGCAGCGCTTCTTTTTTTGATCTGATCATCTTATTTTAGATTGATTCATAGAGTATACACTAGACAGACAACATTTAGCAAGCAACTAAAAATGCTCCTCATTTCACTCTTATGCATAAAATATTCATGCTGCTTCGAATCAGGAACAACGAAAGAAATGGCAAGAGATGAGCAAGAGCAAGAGATCAAAAACGAGAAGAGGAAAACACTGCCTGCCTACCTGCCAGCTTGCTTGCAAGCTGGCAGGTAGGCAATATTATAAGAGATTATGCTACTATATTAAGAGTCAAGAATCTAACGAATCAAAAATGACCAACCCAGCGAGCTATCCAGCCATCTGAACTAACTTGATCTGATCTGATCTGATCTGATCCTGCCATCCTTCCATACATCCACCACTTATTCCTTCCTGCTACTGCTACTGTTGCTCTTCAATTACTCACTGCACTTAGCATTCTCGTCTCGTCTCGACTCGTCTCGTCTCACCCAAAACTTCATTCCTTTACCAATGCCTTCCAATTCCACGATTTATCCCAGCACGCACCTCAATCTAAACCGACCGACTCTCAATAAGGACTGTTCAACAACAATTAATGCAATGCACCCACTTTACAGAAATCATTTCAATCGCCCACCATTCAAATCAATCACATCTATCGATCGATCTATCTCATAACTATTCTAAACCAACCAACCACCTCGAATCCATCCATCGTTCAAATTCATCTATTGCCTTTCTTCAAATAAGTCCAGAATAAATTCCATTCAAAATGATATCATGCTGTTTAAAATACCCTCATAAGATCACGACGACGATTATCTAATCTAGAACAACACTGAAAAGCAGCTCAAATACGACTAATTATAATATAAATTGAAGAAGAACGCCACTCAACGGTAAATATTCTCAACGCAATGGTTCACATCACAAACCATTCATCATCATTTAAAGAGAATGCTTAAAATCAATTGAATGAAAAACGTTTAATTATTTCAAACGTATCATAACACAATCATCCAATAACAATATTCAACCATCAACAATCACAATAACAATAGCAATAATAATAATAACAATAATAATAATAATAATAATATTAATAATAATAACAATAATAATAATAATAACAATACAAATACTGATAATTGTGGTCATTCCTCGTTACTCAAGGTTTCTGAAAAAATTTTTTAAAAGTTTCTGCGCAAGTGCGGCAAAACTGTCAGATGCTTAAATGCGTTGATCACTTCTCTAAATTCTGATCAAATCATCTGATCAATTCATCTGATCCGAGTTGCGATTGCGATGCGATAATATACCAATAATAATGCATTAATTCTTAAAAATCCTCATTATTATACTCTCATTTTAATACACTACAAATTGGAACACCACAGCAAGTTGCATTCTTTTTCGAACGTTCGAACATCGAAATGAATTATTCATATTACCCTAAGTTCAATGTTATATCGATGAATATTTGATAAAAGATAATCAATCATAAATATTAATAAATAATAAACAATAATAATAATACTAATGACATCTAATAAAGGAATAAGTCCCATTGAATGTCATCATTAAATATGCAACATGCGTACTATAAACTCAACCAACTCAATTCAACTTCATTCAAATGACCGACTCTCAATTCAGATCTATCCGTATTCATTACACATCCCTCCTTATCAATAAAACACACTAAATATAATAAAGCAGTTAAACAATCAAATAAAAAAATAAAATTAATCAATCGCACATTAAAAAACAATTTCCTTTACCTGCTCGTATTGCACACAGCTACTGCTGCTGCTGCCTATCACCATTATCGATAATTATCAATCACATACACAATTATCAGTTATAATATATTATTGTTGTTGTTTAACCCATTCATATGCATTGATGAACATTCTCATCCATGGTGAATTATTATTATTATTACTATTATTTTGTTGATTGCTCAACTTAAACTGTTTCGGATAATTCGGCCACTGCCACGAGATGAACGAACGGTCTGGATGGGGCATCATTGCCAAGTGACGACCGTCCAATGAACAAATTGCTGCCACTGACCTGAATTCAATTAGTTTCAGTACAATAATATTTCTTATTATAACATTAATAATAATAATAATAATAATAACAATCATAACAATAATAATATTAATTATAACAATATTAAAGGTTTACTCGATACTTCCATTCGGATTTTCTGGGAAGATCATCGACGGCTTGCCATTACCGTCACAATATTGCACACAAATAAGTTCGTTTGATATCATTTGTTCAAGTACTTCATCATTACGGTAAGTGAATTTACCTTTAACATTTGCACCATAGTAATAATACCACCAATAACAGTAATAATAATAACAATAACAATAATAATAACAATAATAATAATAATAATAACAATAATAATAATAATAATAATAATAATAATAATAATACCTTCGCCATGTGCACTCCATACACCGAGCACAGAGCCGTGCATTCCGGAGAGCATAATACTGGGTGATCTATTGATGCGTACGGTGGTGAATGAACTCTGGAAACGACCGCAATCGTTCGCTTTCAACAGAACGTTCTGTTTGCTATCTTCTGAAAGTATTGCTTTGCCTCTTATCACTATCATTATCACTCTCGCAATATCACTATCATTATCACTCTCGCAATATCACTATCAGCATACCATTATTAAGGTTTCCAATCCAGCCCAGATGTGCCATTAATTGACATCCATTACAAACGCCCAGCGAGAATGTGTCTTGACGTTGTCGAAATCTACGCAACTGCTCGAACACTTTCCCGTGGAATAGAATCGAACTTGCCCAGCCTTAAACTTGCCCATCAAGCAATCAACTCCATTAAGTATAAAGTGGCGCACTTACCTCTCGCCGAACCGAGCACATCCCCAAACGAGAAACCACCCACAAATGCAATGCCACTGAAACGTTCCAAACCGAATTCGCAATCCACCAAATCGCTCATTGTCACGTCAAACGGCGTAAAACCGGCCATATGAAACGCGGCCGACATCTCACGATCGCCATTACTGCCTTCTTCACGAATTATCGCCACTGAATATTGCTCTGCAAATAACAAACAACACACCTTCAACGCAACTAGTCACTCACCTTACCTGGATTACCTGCATTGGCAAGCAGGCTGTCATCAAACGTTTGTAACGTTGCTGCAGGCCACAATGCTCACGTTCCCGTGCACATTGTTTTAGCCTCAATTTATGCCACCTCGCTGACTTGTAGGCGAGCAGGCCAAATCACTCATCTTACACTTTATTATTTCACAATATAAACACCATGGTATTACTAATTATTACTTGGACATCGAGTGGTTGTTTTGTCGATCACGGTGAGCGATCGACGGAATATTTACTTTATTAGAGTAATGTATATTTATTGAATTGGTATTTGACTGCGTTTAATTATGCAAAGTATTCACGGCTCTCAACTAATTAATTACTCGCTTGTGTTCGGTTGGCCTGCTCGCCTACTAGCCAGCGGGGTGGCGTAAATTGAGGCTAAAACAATGCGCCGCACGGAAACATTGCGAGCATTGTGGCCTGCAGCAACGTTATAAACGTTTGATAGCCTGGCGGCCGATCCAGGTGATCCAGGTAATAAGTTCAAGTTTCCTTTCACCACTCTAATCTAATTGCCCATATCAAAAACTTATCATAACAAAAAAACAAGCAAAATGCAGACTCTATCTCCAAAATATTTCACGCCTAACCATTCAACACCCATCAACTATTAACACATACAGTACTTAACAACATAAAACTAACTGAATACTTTCTGTTCCAACGACGATACATTACTGCTGCTGCTGAAGTCGAAATGCGCCGAATAGTGTACGGGTGCGGCCACTCTGATCCAATGCTTTTGCTGCTTAACACATTCCTCGTTGGTTTGCAATAGCTCCAGTTGGGCACTCGTCTCTTCCCATATCTCACGCAGTTCACATAATGGTGCACTTAACGCTGTCTCACCATTCACGTTAACTACTACCTGATTGATATATTTTATAAATTCACCTAGCTGCTGTTGATTCCTTATTTAATAATAATAATAATAGTAATAATAATGGTGGCCTTATATCAACAATAGAAATAATAGCAACTGCAATAATAAACATATTAATAATAATAATAATAATAATAATAATATAATAATAATAATAATAATAATAATAATAATAATAATAATAATAATGCACCAATAATAATAATAGGTACTTATGCTGTTTAGTCCATGCACCCGTACGCAAGATCAAGCGCGCGTGCGCGTAGCCACGCCCACTGGGTGCTAGGGCATGGCCGAAGTCGGCGTAACAGAATGGGTGTGGCCTAAAGCGCGTATGACAACGTGCGGCGGTGTTGTTGAAAGCGCAAATGCTAATGCACGCTTGTCTGCGTGCGGATGGAGAGACTAAACAGCATAAGTGCCTAACAATAATAATAATAATAATAATAATAATAATAATAATACTCTATAGTTATTAACATATAAAACAATCAGAACATATAAAAAAATACCATCGCAGTTCGTCCCACGTCGTTGGTGGTGAATCCAATACATTGTGCATGAATACCTTCACTGCGATACATCTCAACAATATCTTCCACTTGATTTTCATTTGTTTCCACTACAATTCCACTCTCCTCTGCGAACAATGTTTCCAATGGATCTTTAATTCGCTCATTATCAGTAAGATTAGCTATTAAAATTCAATCATACTACTACACACAGCACTCGGTTTGCAGTTCACGAACAATCGGCAATCGAACCTCCTCGAACCCACCACGTACCAATTAGCGGTTGGTTGGGACTCGGCTCGTTCGATTGCCGCCGTTTCGCTTGGCTCGAAACCGAGTGGTATAAGTGCTCATTGATAATGTGAGCCTGAAGCAGCAGGCTGCTATCTAGGATTCGCCAGGCTTGTATCAATTATCTAGCAATTAAATGCTACCACTCGACGATGTTAACTGCAGAACGAACGATCGATTGCCGGCGAATGCCATCTCCAGAACGCACACCAGCAAACCTCCATCGCTTACGTCGTGTCCGGAGATGAGTCGCCTCTCTGAATTCATTTATAAAACAGCTGCACTTAGCAACAATAAAAATCATAAAAACAACCACAAAAAAATAAACAAATAACAAACTTTTCACTAAATTTTGTGTCACATCAAACGCTCTCTTGAACAAATGCACATCATCAATATCCGCAGTATTGTTTCCAATCTGTTTCAAGCACTGAGCTAAAGCACTCGCACCCAAACGATGCTCACTACCATCGTTTCCGAATCTTACGTAAATCAGACGAGATGCGTTTCCATCTTCAAAACTTATCATTACTATCTATCATTACTACCTTGTCATTATTATCAGCAACTGATAACACAAACAAAACCAACCCTCGGATCCCTTTAAGTCCGGTGTGACCACTTCAGTCACATTCGTACAAGGTGCATACGCACTTATCACCAACGTACCGGGTGCTTTTACAATTTCACCATTTACCTTAATATCATCAATTCAGCTGCTGCAAGCAATAAACAATGATTCGGCATGAATTCATAGATGAAGTCTCGAGGAATCGAGCCATCGCACACACCTTCGCCGCCATCGACAACGAGTCTTTACCGCCGTCAATCGCAACCCCCAGCTGTCGCATCGCATCACAAAGCGCATCACACGCCCGAACCAATCTCATCCCTTCACCGTCCAATTTCGCGGCCCACATCCAGTTTCCACTGCATTTTATATCCTACAAAACGACCACAGCCATCTATTATATCTCATAATTGTTACATATAAAAACTGACACAAAAAATACTGAAATCATCAACGTACAAATATTTCTTATAAAGTACTTTTTAAAATATTTCTTATAAAGTACTTTTTAAAATATTTCTTATAAAGTACTTTTTAAAATATTTCTTATAAAGTACTTTTTAAAATATTTCTTATAAAGTACTTTTTAAAATATTTCTTATAAAGTACTTTTTAAAATATTTCT